TTTTGTTTTAGAGATTTTGAAGTTTCGTTCTCCATCTTAGAGAAATTTTAAAAAATCTGTTGAAGATGCTCTTATATATTGTTGAATTTATAATACTTAGTGATTCCAATCCCATAAACATCAAAATAAAAACTCACTTTTTTATATTTTCAATAAATGTTTGATCGTAAAAAAGGTGTTTAGGGTAATACTATATGGACCGTTTTTAATGTTAGAATCAGATAAAATTATATATTTAGAATATAAAAGATAAATGTGAATGTTAATATATAAGTAAGGATATATATATATATATATATATATATATGTAGCAATCGCCATTATTATATCAATTTCAGAGAGAGAGAGAGAGAAAAAAAAAAGGAAAATGTAATTTAAAGAAAAGGTGCAAGTGTTGCATAAAATAAAAAGTAATTGGGAGAAGAAAATGATGTGCAACCACTTGAAATGATGTGACCACATACGTAATTTGGATGATTTATTTACGTATTTATATGATTTATAAAACAGTAAACAAATTTCTTGAGATGCGTAGAGGTGGGAGGTTCACGTGTCAAAGAAGTCATCAAGACCGTGCCTCGTACCAGTGGGGCCCTCTCTGCTTTATTTGTCCTTTTCTACCTTTATTTACGCCCGACGGCTGATTCATTTCTGATGCATGCATCTTTTCCTTTCCTTTCTTTTAACTTTTTTTTTTATTATTAAAATGGAAAAAAAATACCCATACGACCCCTCACTGTCCCATTACCCACTATTTTCATCCAAAATCAATAATTAATTTTGCATCTTTTTAATCTTTGTTTTTAAATTTGAATATATTCATAGTTGCTGTAATCCATGACTAATTTTATAAGATATAAACTAATTTATATTTCTATGACTAGCAGTTAATTATAATTAGTTTCAAACACAATTTTTGATTTCCAATTCATTTATATTTTTATATATATAATATAGGATTTTGTTTAATTTTCTTTAAACATATGTATATAATTATTCATTTAAAAACTCGTAAAATTTTAAGAATTGATACATCATATATTATTTTACATGATTTTGTTTTATCTACGACTTAGATTTAATTTATTGATTAAATATGACTTAGATTTGATTTGTTAATTAATATATATCAATGAAAACATTTTGTCTGCTGGTAAAACAAAAGCTACACATAAAAATATTTCATATTTTGAACTGTATACATATAAAGTTGTGAAGCAAACATATGTTAATTAATCTAATATATTAAATATTAGTCTTGGATTGAAAAAGTTAATATTTATTAAATAAATTATGAAGATGTTGTGCTGGAAATACTAATAAAATCAAACTATCCCATCAAACACGTTTTATTACCATACAATTTTTGTTTTAATGATACTAGTTTGTATTATAAAAAAAAAACTATAAATCAATGCCGATCTTTTATGAATGAAGACAAAGATCAAGAAATCCAAATCGTCATGATTTTATTTCAACAAGTAAATAAAAATACGAATATCGACACAGATCGAATAAGACGAGTTTATTACAATGTAAATAATAGACCCAATTGTTATAAATTATTGCAATCACCCCACCATCATAACATACAAAAAGTTAGGTGAGTGTATATGTGCATCTTTAGCCACACACTCATGACTCATCCAATAAGAATGAAAAAACAAAAAAAAAGAAAAAGAAAATCAATAGATATTATTTATCATGCAAAATAATTTCTATCTTTTAACCCATTTTAAATTACAAACTTTTCAGGTCGGTTTGGTTTTCATAATTATTTTTGGGAGATTTGAATCGATTTCAAATAATTTGTGTATTTGGTTTGTAGGATTAAAAAAAAATTTGAATTCCATTATTTATAAATAATAAATATGAATGAATTTTTCCAATTCCAACAAATTCTTTAAGTCATTGATTTCACAATTCCACCGCATATACCACGGATTTCAAATTCCAATCTGACAAATTCCTTAGCCCTCATCCAAATTCATCGACGCTGTATCTCGATTTGCTCTGCTCTGCTATGCTCGATCTCGTTTAAAACTAAGAATGACATCGAGCCAGGTTTGGCCCGGTTATTGATATCCCCGTCCCCGAAACCGATAACTAAAACCGTCCACATGACCGCTCCGATCCCTGTCGGGGATCTTATCAGGGATCCCCATTGGGTCCCCGCGGTTTCCCCGATCCCTGTTGAGGAACCCGTTAAGGTAAAAATCCTCTTTTTCTCGTTCACCGTTGGTTATAACCGAAACCCGAAACAAATCTAAAAAAATTACAATATGTTGATTTTCACAACTAAAAGTAAATTACAATTTTTTAAAGATGCAAGTTTAAATGTCTCAAACATAATCGAACGAATTACAAACAATGTATTAGATTACAATATAAAACTAAACAGAACTTCAAACATCATACAACTAAAATCACGATTTCACAATTAGACAAATAAACTACACTTTTTCGTGAGCCTTATTTAGATTGTGGAAGTAAAGTGGATAAAAGTTTTTTGAATTTTAATGTTACTATTTTCTTTTAATGATATTATACATATATATATGTTTGTATATAAATTAAAATTAATATATATACAAATATCAGGCCGGGCGGGGCCGATGATCACCGTTCCCACCCCCGTCCCCGTTAAAATCCTCGAATTTGTCCCCGATCCCCGCCCCGTCCCGTCCCGTCTCCGATAAGATGTCCCGAATCCGGCCCGAAAGTTTTGGTTTTCGGTTTTCACCATTGGGTTCGGTTTTTTTTGCCATCCCTATTCAAAACTACTCGATCTAGTATGCTCGACCTCTCTCTCGTTCTTTCTATCCTAAAAAGAATTTTCTTGAAATGCCATCTATGTAATTTTCTCGTTGAATTCCATGAACGAAACAAAAAAAATTCAAATTTCGTTAAGAATTTCATTCCAATTCCATCCAACCAAACGCAATCAAAAGACATGGTCAAATTCCATCAAATTTCATTCAATTCTCTCAAAGTCAAATTCATTTGATGAATTCCAATTCCGTCAAATTCCATTCTACGAACCAAACGCCCCCTTAGAGTTTGTAAAGAGTTATTGGTCGTATTCAAAACTCAAAAATCAAAAAACATGTTAATAAATAATTAAAAATATGTTCGTACTAAAGTTGGTGTAGTGTGGAAGGGTCGACCAACATTAAACCCAGCTCGTGCGGCCACACAGGACATCAAAGCCTAAAGAGGCATCATGTTGTCATCTATTACTAGTTTTGAATTTAATAATTTGGAAATTAGACAACTGAGTTTTAACTGTAAAAACATGTTTAAGACCTGGTAGTGATGGATAATGAATGCACATCGTGAACCGGTTAACACTATCATTCCAATTTTAAGATAACGAATCTATCAACGTAACCCATCGGAAACTAAAAAAACTTTCAAGGAGAAGAAATTTTATAATCAATAATCTAAATATCAATAAAAATAATAAACCCTTATTTATAATCTAAACTAGCTAAAAAAACAACTATTAATAATTATGCCTAAGAATCATCCCATGATTAAGAAAATAAAAGATGATAAATAAGGAAAGAAATAAAGGATTTTGGATGTGGATGCTAACGTGGGTCGCCGAGGCTTATGCATGGCATGGAAATTAGAAATGGATAGAAACACAAGTTTGGGCCATCTCCATGCGGGTGTCGCCGCGCCAAGAGCCAATAAATATTACATTGGTGAATGATTTATTACAGAATGATTAAGTGGTATTTTAATAATATAGTATAAAATGAAATATAATTATTTGGTAATAAAATTAGAACGCTTAATGGTCAAGAGAGACTCAAAATACAAAATTATTCAAAGAGTTTTAGAACCATTAAAACACATTTTTTTTGTCAAACAAGATTGATCCCTTAATGATTCAGATGCTGCATTTTAATGAAAGTATAAAGAGATAAACAAAACAACCCCTTTATGAAACAGTATGAAATGTGTCTTCCGTGCGGGTTGAGCCGCATGCTAACCGCCTTTGTGAGAATCGTCCAACGGCTTATGCGGGATGAGCCGCATGGCACCTGCATTCGATTTTGTTTTCCTTGTTCGATTTGTTCCTCTGTTTCTATTGCGACCCCCTTGATGCCAACTTCCGGACCTCTTTCTTCTTTTCCAAAGATCGAAGAAAAACCTGGTTATCTCTCGAATTCTCTCAGTATCAAAAGTATTATTGTGGTACGCAACTTTCAAAACCATATATCGACCAAGTTTGCATATATTAATAGTATCAACCTATAATAATTGGTATTAATTTAATTGATACGACTATATACATGTCGGTTGATTTGGTACAGAACTGTCGCACCTAAAAAATGAATCAATTTTTAAAGGATAACAAATTTTTAATCAATGGAACAATAATTCAAAACTCTAATTTACAACACATTTTGACGGAAAATCGTTGATCTTATAACATCGTCAAGTTTATCATTTATTAACTTTTTCATAAAACCAATATCAACATCATCAAATATATAGTAGAATCAACAAGTTATAGACAAAATAGATTAAAAAACATTGTATTACATCAATTAAGAAAAAGATGTTCATAATAATAATAATAATAATAATAATAATAAAAAAATAAACCAAACATTTACGGTATTGCCAAATATATAGTTTGTGGTATCAAGTCATGTCCTATCCATTTAACTCGAGTTTACTTTTAATAATTTTCTTACTTTTTATATTGTATTTCATTCATTCATAAAGTTCACATAATTATCAAAATGTTAAAAATCAATTACCACTTTATTATTATAAAACTTGAAGGAAAAAAAAGGTATATTAGTTTTCAACTTTTAACAAAAAAAAAAAAAAAAAGGGAAGGGGAAATACGAAGAAAGGCCGTATACGAAAATTACTTGGAGGAGAAGGGTATTATGGTAATCTCAGCCTTCCTGCCTACTTCCTGCTCCTTTCTGTTGTCTCGAAAGTATAAAACTCACCTCCCCCATACCTCTTTCCTTCTTCCAACGCTATCTATCATCGTATAATCAAACCCTTTTCTCCGATCAACTTTCCGACTTCAATCCATAACAACAATCTGCAGATATGTGTGGTGGTGCTATCCTTTCTGATATCATAGCCCCCACGGCTAATCGGTCGCGACGTCTCACCGCCGATCTTCTTTGGAACACCGATCTTATAAAGAACCCTAGTAAGCACTTCTCTAAGCCTCCACGATCTGACGTCTACGATATCGACGATGAGTTCGAGGCTGACTTTCAAGGATTTAAGGATCAGGTTGAGATTGATGAGGATAACAAGCCTTTTGCTTTCTCCGCCTCCAAAAACTTCGCGCCTGCTCGTGGTAATCTATTATTCCCCTCTTTTTCTCCTTTGTCAGATCATTTATTTCGTTCAGGTTTGTTTGATAAAAAAATTAGAATAAGTTTTATTTCTTTTTGTTTCATGAGCCGATTCACTGAAAAATGATTTGTTTGATTAGGTTTTCTACTTGATCATAGTTTTGCTTGATATGGTTTGATTTTGAAGCTTGTTCTCGAAAAGGGGCTTCTTTTTTGCTCTTGTTTTTCTTGATAAATCGTCTGTGTCGTTTATTTCCAAAATTTCCCAAATGAGTGTTGATTGCTTGCTATCAAGTTGAATTGTCTAGATCCGGTTAAGAAATTGATCTCTTCTTTAAATTTATATGTATCAACTTTAGATCCCCAAACGCTTAAATTGGAGTAATTTCTTTGATAACTCAAAAGAATTTCACATCCCCTTTTTGTGTATAGGCTCCAGATCTGTGAAATCTGATGATCAAGCTGAGAGATCTACTTCCAGGAAAAGGAAGAATCAATACAGAGGGATCCGCCAGCGCCCATGGGGCAAATGGGCCGCTGAGATACGCGATCCAAGGAAAGGGGTCCGTGTTTGGCTTGGAACTTTTAATACTGCTGAAGAAGCTGCAAGGGCTTATGATGCTGAGGCCAGAAGGATCCGTGGTGAGAAGGCCAAGGTCAACTTTCCTGATAAAGCTACACCCGCGAAGCCTAAATCCCAGAAACCAACTCCTAAGGTCAGCCCTACCTCGAACCAAACCACCAAGAACCAATATTCTGGTTCACTTGGATTTGTGGAAGAGAAGCCACAAAGTAATCTTGTTGTTGCCACCGAGGATATGGCAGTGAAACCATTTGGTTCATCAGAAAGTGCTGCCTTTTATTTCAGTTCTGATCAGGGTAGCAATTCTTTTGATTGTTCTGACTTTCCATGGGGGGATAATTGTGCAAGAACTCCTGAGATCACATCTGTGCTTTCTGAGGTTGATGAGGCTAGCTTTATGGAAGATGGTAATCCTGCAAAGAAGCCCAAGATGGAGTCTGTAAATGTGGTGTCAGATTGTGACAAGAGTGATCAACTGTTCTTTGAGATGCCATATCTTGAAGGGAACTGGGATGCTTCTTCAATGGATGCTTTCCTCAATGGAGATGCAACTCAAGATGGTGGAAATGTGATGGATCTTTGGAGCTTCGACGACCTTCCTGCTATGATGAATGGAGGTTTTTAATTGAAAACTCCAAACCCTTTTCATGCTTGCTTGTAAATAAGGCTTTACATGTCAGTACAATTGCGTTTTCGTTAGCTTATATGCATTGACTTTTCTCTAATTGAGGATCTTTGAATTATGTAATGGTTTGTGTCTTTTAAAACTATGATTTAGAACTCCATTTATATCTAAATGAAGATCGATTTTGAGTTTCTAATATTTGATTCAACTCTTTTATCATTCTTGGCTTTGAGAGATGCCTGCCCGCCTTCCCTAGGACCCAAAACCGAACCCCAAGTAAAGAATATGAGAATATATAACAGCAGAAGCAAGAAAAACCTTTATAAATTCCCTCCAACAGGATCTGCCCTTCATCTTTTCCATTTATTCCTAGATATGAATCAAGATTATGGATGGTCCAGCTCTCAGTTTTCAGTTTTCCTACAAGAAATGCTTTTGGTTTCTTCTCCTTATCATTGGCCTGTTCATTTTGATTTCTGTGTTCTTTTCGTTAATCATCATCTTCGTATTGAAGCCACGCAGACCTATCTTCTCGTTCCAAACGGTAAACATTGCTTCCTACAAGTTTGATGTTTCGGAGTCCTCGACTTTGTTCCTCTCTTTGGTTGCTTCTGTTACCCTGATTGCAGAAAATCCAAACAGAATCGGTTTAAAATACGATTTCTCAAGGCTCCAAATACTCAAGGATGGATTGGTCATAGGATTGATCAGAACTCCTGAGTTTTATCAGCCTGCTAGAAGCCATAATGTCAGTGTCGAGATGAATCTTGTCTTTCAATGTCTCGATATAACCACAATCATGTCGGGAGTCGATACAGCCAATTTTAGCATCAAAGTATTGGGTGATATCGGTGTTCGCCTAAGGGTACTGCAGATCAAATTGCCAAAGATGAAGGTGGGTTTTTGCCTCCTGAAATCATGGATTCGTGTTCATTTACAATCTTGAATTTAGTACATGAATTTGGTTTTATGGTTTTCTTTTAGGTGGGTTTGGATTGTGATGTTGCTGTTGATGGCAGATATCTGATATCTAGGGATGAAATCACAAGCTTGAAAGCAGTCAAGAATCATATTGTAATAAAATGAAAAAAAGGGAAATTGATCACCACCTTCACCTTTTTAGCCAATTTTTTCAGTAAAATTCTCATTTTATCCGGAACTTACACAAACACTGAACGTATTTATGTAAAGTCTATTTTCAGATCCAGGAAAAAAACGTAAATTTATGTAAAGTTTTTTTATTTCTTTTTAAATCTGAAATAGGTTTTAAGCAGATCAAAAATGAGAATTCAATGTGAAAATTGTCTAAAATGTGAATTTGATTGAAAAGATGGATAATTTTAATCAGTTTTCCTTATTTTTTACAAGCTTTTATACTTTTTGACATAATAATCATTCATAACCTTGATAAAGTTGAATTTTGCAGGCACATTTTGATGCCAACTCACAGGCTTTGTGGAAGAAATGTTCCATAGGTTTTTACTTGTAAATGAATTGTAATAAATGAGCAGACGCAGGATCAAGTAACCAACCTCATCTGAGAATAACTGTGGTTTACATGAATTATTGAAGATGTGTATTAAATTAATCAAATTTTTTTTGAAAACATATGGTATTGGTTCACGAAGTATTATCTAAAATTTCACTTAATGCTATATAGCTTTTGTCATGAAATGTGATTTTTCATTTATATTATTGACTTGTTATGTCATATTTTGTGCATAAAAACAGACAGTTGAATTAATTTACTACTTAATGAATTTAATAGTATGAAAATTTTGCTAAACAATATCAAAATGTTTATATATGAAGTAATAATGGTTTTATGGATTTAATCCCAACCTATCCATGGAAACCCACCCGTAGTATCTCTAATAGTTTAAAGCCTTAAACCCATCATTGAAATTACCGAAAATTACCAATTACTCATTGAGTTCTTCTTTAGTTGGTGAAATGCATTTGTAGATACATGTATGCAATTGTTGTTCTACTTGTATGTGAGATTTTTTTTTCATGGTCTTTTAGATCATATATAATTCTGTATGCCATCGGAGGTTGTGTTAGTTGATCACTTGAAATGTTGTTATCTTCATGTTCAAGGTTAAAGTCTTAATTGTACATGCATTCTTTATTGTAATTACATTATGTTGATTGTGGGTATGTTTGAGTGTAGCCATGGTGTTCTGTATCACTGGCAAAGTGTTTTTGGTGGGTTTGATCAATTACAAAACTCTAGATAAAATTACTTTATATCATTTAAACCGTCTATTTAATATATATAAAAACAATTCAAATAATTTGAATTTATATAAGCAGTTTAATCCATGTAACGTGTGAGACTCTACATCGGTTGGGGTTGAGAATGAACGTTGTTTTACAAGCGACTTTAATTTGTGATATCATAAAAATTTGACAAAAATATATCGGTATTAGTACCAAATAACTATTTAAAATTCTTTTTTTTTGTGTAATTTTTTAATTCAATTATTTTTATTATTATTTAGTTTATGTTCAAAAACAAAATAATTTATATTTTGTTTAATAATATAATTTTCTTATAAAAGTAATAATTATGTATTTTGTTAGAACTCGATAATTATCCTAATTATATTTTAGATTTTTTATATTTTAAAATGAGATGTTTATCCTTTAATTGATTATGTCTATACATAGTTGGTTACACGAATTCAAACATGGAGTTTTAATAAGTTGTACTTATGCATGATTTTCTTGTAATCTTGAATTTTAAGTAATATGCATCAATATACAGTACTTCATGCATAAAAAATGGTTTTTAATAATTTTTATTAAATGCTTTATAATATGGAGGTTAATGGGGAGGATCATGAATGCCATTACATGCATCATGCATTGTGAAGGAAGGTTAATGAGAGTTGCATGGAATAGAGTTTCATGGCCATTGTACGCATCATAGCTAAATCAATGAGACCCACTAATTTATTTTTTCTTTTATAATTAAATTTATAAGGATTTAATTATGATATATATATATATACTATAATATGATATTTATTAATCAATAAATTAATTTTTATTTTTATTTTTCTTAATTTATAAAAACAACATNATATGATATTTATTAATCAATAAATTAATTTTTATTTTTATTTTTCTTAATTTATAAAAACAACATAATTAATAAAACATTACATTAATTTCAAAATACATTACATTAATAAGATATTACATTAATTTTAAAATACATTACATAAACTACATTACATTATTTGGTGTTTAAGCATTTCATTTTCTAGCTTTGGTACTTTTTAACTGATGTATTTTAGTCTCGTACTTTTTATTAAATGTATTTTAATTTTGTTTCATTTTCATTTTAATGTATTATTCCTTGTTTTTAGTAGATTTTTAAATTTATTGGTAAAATTATATTTATAGATAATATATATATATATATATATATATATATGATGTGGAAATCCATTAAACTCATTGGAGTGTTATGAAGTGTGGGTATAAAATGATAGAATTATATGATGAATGGAATGCTGATGTGGTAGTTCATGATACTGTGATAGAGTGTTATGCATCGAATATGCCCTAAGCATACAACTCAAACTTACATTATAATATCCCAAGCTTCTACAATTGTGGATTTAGATCCCTCTCCCAAATGGGTCCACATCTGCACACCGAATTCAACACCAGCCGTCCATCTCTCCCAATCCCACATTTCCTCCCCCTACTCCAAAACACCCATATGCTGTTACGCAAATAAAGTTGGTTATTATACAAAAAATCTTGAAAAGTTTCTGCAACTAATCATATATAATATATACACATACATATATTATAGTTTGGGTAGTTTCTGGAGACTTCTTGCAGACTAGCATCAGCATGTATCATGGCTACTACTGCTGATTTCATCATCCTTCCTTTTCTTCTGCTTTCTTTACATCTGCACACCGTATTCAACTTCTGTTCTTGCTTTAAATTGAAGAATTTGTCGACAAGAAGTTAGATTTTTGGAGTTTTCAACTATTTTTCGATCTGGGTGTTGGAATTATGGGTGGAAATGGAGAAAAAAGTAGCGACTTTTATCAAGTTTTGGGCTTGAAGAAAGAATGCACTGAAACAGAGCTCAAGAATGCTTACAAGAAGCTTGCAATGGTCAGAATTCTTGATTTAAAAACCCAACACTTGTTTTAATAAATCGGTTTTGATCCCTTTTTTGGTTGTTTTGTGGCGGCAGAAATGGCATCCCGACCGGTGCTCGGCGGCCGGCAACTCCAAGTACGTGGAAGAGGCGAAGAACAAGTTTCAGGCCATACAAGAAGCTTATTCTGGTAAATTCTTATGATCTTGATTCGAATCTTGGAGAGTTATTACAGTAATTTATAAAAGATCGAACAATACCGTGTTCTTGAAACTCTTCAAATTTACATTCTATAAAAGGTTTCTAGGATTTGGTTCATAATTTGCTTACCAACTTCCTCTGTTTTCTAGTACTTTCCAATACCAACAAAAGGTTTCTGTACGATGTAGGAGTTTACGACAGTGATGATGACGAAAATGTAAGTTGGGTTCTTCTTTTTTAACATTTAAGACATGTTTGTTGTTAACATAACTCTCAACTTATTTGATCAGCTATTTTGTAGTGGTTTAATGACATAGAAAATGGTTAACTAGACTTGTAGCTTATTCAGTCAACTATAGATGAACGTTTAGTAGTGGCCTAATGATATAGAAAGGGAGGTACTCAGTGAGCTTGTAGGGGAAGCTTACGTTCCAAACCTATCTTTTTCAATTTTAAAAACATGTTCATTCCATCTATAAAAAACTCTTTCAAAACAATAACTTTTCCAATGTATACGGTTGACGTAGATAGCTTTATGAAGACCAACCAAATAGCCCATTTTCATATGACTTATTCAGTAAGCTTCTGGTGCTTTATGTATAAAGCCAAACTTTTTCCAAACCAGCCCTCCATCTAAAACAAAAACCTTTTCAGCTTATGTAGATTAATCCACACCAACTGCTTTATTTATAAAAGTCTTATGGAAAACCAACCAATCAGCCTCTGATTCTGTTAGAGAAATTGGTATAAAAGCTGAAAGAACCAAACCAAGAATCTTTTAAAGCTTGGATCTTTTCTTGAGCGCGAGGGTTCTACAATTGGGCCACCATAGGAACGAAGGGAAAGAACATGATATGGTCCACCCTTTAATGGCGTTGGATCTCAAGAAATTAAATATTCATAACTGATTTTTGATCTAAAAAAAGTCAAACTCACTAGTTCCCATAATTAAATTATCAAAATTCTGCTTGTTTGTTTAAAAATACTTCATCATTTTTACAGTTTTTTTATGTTTGGAAGCAGGGGATGGCCGACTTCATGAGCGAAATGGCTGCTATGATGCGTCAAAATAAGCCCAACGTAAGCTCTCACCTCTCAATCTCATGGATGCAGAAATAGCTGATTGGCCCAATAATCTTTAAGTCAATTTAAAACCATAGTAAACATTACCGATAGTTTATAAGGAGCTCACATATTTATTTTTACACTAAAAAAATATGGGTACTGGTTGAAAATTAGTCATTTGTCTAATTTTGGTATGAATCTTATGCTTCTACTTTAAGTTAGGCATTTTATCGTCTACGCTTGATTGATTAGAGTGGGCTCCGATGGTCTGACATGAGGATCTAAAAAAAACGTTGGAAAGTCTAATTCTTCTAATAGACCCTTATTGATGTTTATATGGGACCCGCATCAACTTGTTCTTGTCTGCCGATGTTTTCTTTGTGCGATGTTTGGCATTATGTCACTTGTGTTGTTCAATTCGTTCTTTACCATTCAAAATTAATGAACGGAAGTTTCTATCTATATTCGAGTATTGGTAGCTAGTTGTATGCGGTTAAAAGTATATATGATTTTGAACAGGAAAAGGGAGAGAGTCTTGAGGAACTAAAAGACTTGTTCGAGGATTTGTTTGAAAGCGACGTAGAGTCGTTTGGTTGGACCTCCCACTCGGAAACATCGACTTGTTTATTATCGAGCTCTACTTCCTCTAACAAACGAGGCTCCTCCGCTATGTCGAATACCAAAGCCAAAGACCCTTTGTGTTTTGATGCTCGTTTCCAAGGATTTTCGCAAGGGGTTAGTTTAGTTACTACACCACTCGAAATCAATCTTTCTTTGAAACGCATGATTTATTTGATTTCCTATAACGTTGTTTATGGTTTGTATGGTGTTTGAAGACAGGTGAATACGAGGAGAGGAGTGGCGGCAGGAGGAAGGGGAGACACGCCTAACGTTGTTATCCGACACACGATTTGTGTGTTCGATAAGATGACAACTTCAAAATACCGGTTTTATTTGCTTTTTACAGTTGTAATTTAAAATACCAAAAGTGGATCTAGACTCGGCTGTTTCTCTATGAAATAAAATAGCCAAATCTCTCAATTAAATTTTTTTAGTTCCTTTTTCGATGAAATTCCTATTTTAGTTAGGGATTTTTGTAGAACGTATTTTCAAATTAGAAAATTAAAATAAAATATTTACGTAAACTTGTGTAATGAAATCTGAAAATAATGGGTTATTTTCATCATTTTATTTTCATGTTTCAAGAAATATATTAGGAAAGAGGCACAAATTAATAATTCGTGATTAATTATAATTGTTACTCCAACTTGCACAATCTTTTTCTTACTTTTTTTTTAATTTATATTATAAAATTTATGTATATTATACTAGCCTAAGCCGACTTGGTTGATCTGATCAAGACCCAAACTCATCTACTTTATAGTTTTCAACTGGTAATTTGATTTCTTTTAGAATAATAAATAATCTTTTTATCATTTCCTTTACATCTAGATGGTTTTATTAATTCAACAAACACTTGTTTTCATTCTTAAACGAATTTATTGAGCTAAAATTTACGTTTATAAAAGAGCAATTTTGTTGCAAAGCTCGTCCATGCCCTTGATACACGAACCTAGATTTAGATTTGGTTTTGTCAAAAATTAGGAAACACGATATCTTTTTTGGAGTTAGTAGTGATATGGTTATATGATGCCATGACCTTTCAATTTCATTCAATATCTTGTTCTGATTTTTAAGAATGCATTTTCAAGATGACGTAGATAGAAAATAATTGAAAAAAAAATTCAAGGGGAAAGAAAAACAAGTTCAAATATGATCTAGATGGCAGTTTTCAAGCCATGACACTCTACAAATAATAGATAAAAGTGTTTTTTATAGAAAAATATCAATAATTATTAATATTGAAACAAAATTATCATATATTATATATTCATATAATATAAGAGTTGGGATCGTATAGGAAATCAAAATATTGTAATGAATGTGTAAATATAATAAGTTATAATTGTTGTATGAATATACTAATGATTAAAATTTTGAAAACCTCAAGTTAAATAAATATAAACACATCTAATTTCCTGTAGCGCCCCCACTCACCATCACAATTCACTTCTTTAAATAAAGAAAACACACATAACTTGACCAATTTCTTTATGGTTGATAAGTATAGTAATTCAATACATAATGGGTTTTCTCCATAATCTCTGCAACAAAACACTCGTTCGCTACACCCCTGGCCTTGACTCTAGCGTTGGTAAATTTCGCTAGCACAAGTCTCTTCTCCATTGTGCTAACAATTTTTTTTAATGGATAACGACTGAAAAACTGTTTTTTTATTTATCAAAATTACCAAAAATGGCTTCTAAGGTGGTTTCCAATTGTCCATCATTTCTGTATATTTGTAATGCTCATATTTGGATAGATGTTTAAGAAGGGGACCATTCATCTTTTGGAATTCATTATTAATTATTAGGTCAATTTTCATGTTGAAAGTATCTATAGTTCCAATCTTAACTTAGTAACTAATTTCACTTTGAATGTCCTTTGTTTGTTATGTTCTTAACAGATAAGGGTAGAAAATGTAATATAATGAAAGTAATTGCTGGGTTTCAATCAAGAGGACTGCGCCTCACCTTATACATAAGATAAAGGGTAGCGGAGCTAATAGTTGAATCCTCAAGGACTATTCCTGTTCAAATCGTATTCATATATAAGAGAAGGAGGAGCCGGTCTAGCTGGTCATAATTCATTTTTTTCTCATTTTAAATCTCTCAAGAGCTCTCTCTCTCTCTCTAGTTCGTTGTTACAATTCTTGAAGATATTGAAGATCTGTCTCAGATCTTTAACGCTACAATTTGAGTTAGTGTTTCTCGTTTAAATTTCTTTAGATTCAAGTGTTAATTAGTTCATCTGTATATTTTCTTTTATGTAAATCTGGTTCGAATATGAATATTTTTGTTAATCAGTTTCTTGTTTTAAATCTCAATATTAACAATGATCAAAATATGAAAGTTTACATTTCACAACTTTTTTTAAATTTATTTTATAAAGCCATATATTTTTTTAATAGATGAATTCGTTGATCAAGATGGAAAGTTATGTATTTTAGTGTTTCGAGTTAAAATACTGATAACTTGAGTAAAAATATACTTTCTCTTGTACCTCGACTGTTTTACCAACTAAAACATGACGTGGTTTCTTTTCTCTTACAACTAGATTGTTTTATCGACTCAAGAAAGAGGTCTATCGATTCTTAAACAAGATGACTTTATTGAGTTAAATATTACGTTTTTTAAATCATAAAATAGCAACAAAAATCGTACTTGCTCATGATATACGAGTTGACGAGCTTCTAGTTTTGTTGGGGTTTAGGAAACATGGAGCATGTGGTATCATTTTTTGAGTTAGAGTGATGTGGTTCTTTTGGTCTAATTATTCAGTAAAAAATGATATGAAGAAGTTATATGTATGATTAGTGTTTTATCACTTTGATTTAATTAAAATCATGAGATTTTTAGAATGTACGTTTTTAAGTTGATATAAAAAGATAATAAATATACAAATTGAAATCGAAAAATCAAGGGGAGAAAAACACGAAGTTGAAATATTTTAAGGTCTATGTATGGGTTCATTCAAGAAAGAACTGAGTTGTTTGTAATAACTGTGAGATCCAATCTCAACCACACAAATTAATAATCAATGGTTGAAAATAAAAGAAGAATTAATTACTGAAATTCCAAAAATAATATCCAATATTTAATGTGAGTATGTAAAAAAGGGTAAAAGGGTCAATTTTTTTTAATTTAATGAGACTATTTTGAGCGCCTTAGAAATCCGTTAATCTTCTAAAATTACATTTTATCAAATCAAAACAAAAAACAAAAAGATCCTGTTGGTTGTGCGAGAAGAGGTGGAAAACAATTTGTAGGCTTTGGTTGAACATGTTGTGTTACATTGTGGTAAAAAAGATTGTGGTTTTATGTGCTATCCAACCCACTAAACCCATGGTGAGAATTCTTTGAGAGCAAACCATACAAGACAACCTCCAAACCACTAAACCCATTGTGAGAATTATTTGGTAGCCTACAACCAAGAACTCATAAGTCATAAGGGGCTACAAATTCCAATAGTTACTATACGGGACAAGGTGTTACAATACCAATAGTGTATTAGGTAACACAGGATGTTGTGTTACATTATGGTAAAAAAAAGATTGTGGTTTCATGTGCTACTCAAAATATTGTGGTTTCATGTGGTAATTTAGGAATGTAAAATAAAAATTAATTTAAAGTTTGAAACATATGGAATTAATAAATAAATATTTAATCTAAATTTAGTAATTTACTAACTTGTCCTTTTACATTAATTTAAAAAGAATAACTAATATATTAAAATAAATGGTTAAGATTGGATCTCACGGTTACCACAAACAAAACAGTTCCCATTTGATTAAGCCCATATATATATATACTAAAAGAAGAACCAAGAGTATTGAGATGACATCATGAAAATTGAGTATTGAGGTGTTGGTGAAATGTGGTTGAGTTTAAGATATCCCACATTGGTGAGAGATTGAAAGATTGGAATAAGAAGGTGTGTATAAGAAAGAAGGATGTGATTCATTGTATCAACTAGGGATGGTAATGGACCCCGACCCGTCGGGTAACCCGGTCCACCCGCCCCGATCGGGGACGGGGAATCCCCGAAAAATCGGGTACGGGGACGGGGACGGGGATCCCCGCTTGGCAAAATCCGGGGATGGGGACGGGGACGGGTATAGCACTCCCCGCCCCGCCCCGTACCCGTTATTTATATATATGTGTTTTAGAGGAGTTTGGGCTTTTGACTTTGGGCTTTTATTGTAAAATATGTTATGATTTATGAATGCATCCCTGTCCAGCTTTTATTTCCCTTCCTTCCTTAATGCATCCCTGTCCAGCTTTTTTATTTCCCTTCCTTCCTTCCTCAGCCCAATCCACACCACACTTTTATTTTCCCTCCAAGATCTCCATGTCCACGGCTCCACGCACGACAGTGACGACACGCACCAGTCACGCTGCCTGCTGCTCTCCTCTCCACCACGACGCTGCTGCCTGCTGCTCTCCTCTCCACCACGACGCTGCTGCCTGCTGCTCTCCTCTCTCCTTTTCGACAGGTCGTCGGCGACGGTGAGTGGTGACAGTCCGACGGTGACAACGGCGACAGTCCCAACTCCCACGGCCTCTCCCTCTCGGCTCTCCCTCTCGGCCTCTCCCTGCTCTCCCTCTCGGCCTCTCCCTCTCGAACTCTCCCTGGTGTGTTATTGTAAGTGTTAGTTCTCTTAGATCACCTTCTTGTTAAATTATTGGTTTACCTTTATACCTCATCTATTTGCCTACTTTTTCTTGATTTGTGAACTAATGTGGACCCAAATTAGTATATTATTGTGGTTGATTAATTTATTTAAATAAGTTAGGGTTTTGACTTTCTTTATTTTAATTATCATAATCTATGGTTTTGACTTTCTTTATTAATAAGTTAGGGTTATGTTTACTTTATAGATTATGTTTACAATGTTTGTACACTTATATCATAATCTGTGGTTTAAAATATTCCCAAGGTTTTGACTTTCTTTATTGCAAGGATTTTAGTCGATGAAGGAGTACAATGTTTGTATTTGATTAACAAATAGTGATTATGTTTACTTTACAGATTATGTTTACAATGTTTGTACACTTATATCATCCAATAGCAAAAGGAGATTTTGTAAGTTTAT